GTAATGCCTTCCATTCGATTTGACAAGAATTCTCAAGGACAGCTGACACTAGTTGTACCCAGTCTTTGGGCGTCACCCTGTTAAAGGTGGCCCATGAACGTAATAGCTGTTTTATGTATGGGCTATGAAGACCATACGAGACAACTGATTCTTTAATATGCTTAAGATCTTTCAACTGGATTGGTTGCCATACATATGCTGTCTATAAGCCAGCTGTCACTGGAAGTGTTTTTTAGTTGGTGGCTTTTCTACCAATCTTGCTGGGTAGACCAATGGCGTACGTGTAATGACTTTAGAATGATTGAAATACCTGTTTGGAGTAGGTGCCTCAGAGTGGAGTGTTTCTGTCTCCTCGTCCTCAAAGCGATCCTTGAGCCTAGCAACTAGGTCCTCATAGGAAATTTCAATCTCATTAATCATGAAAGATTCAAGGCATGACAGTGAATCCATGAATCGCTGTGGCTGCTATTCTATATGGTTTTCTAGGTGTTTAATATGTTTGTCCCTAGCTAGCATCTGGGTGGCATAGAGACTGCCATCCAGGAACTGAAATTTAGAATCAAGGTGGTGATTTGCCTCAGCAATCGACTTGATAGACCTTTCTAGTTTGTTAGCTCTGTTCTGTAATTCATCTTGCAAGCTTTGAAACTTAGATTCAACTCTATCATCTACCCTCTCGTATTTTTCAGCCATTGATTTAATGGCATTATCCAATTGTTTAAACCTATCCTGGGTATCTTGCATATTAGTATCCAAACTACAGGACACAGAGGCTATTTGAGTTTCCATTTGATCCAATTGTTTAAACCTATCCTGAGTATCTTGCATGTTAGTACCCAGAGAGGCTATCTGAGTTTCCAGTTGGTTACATATATTCTTTAGTTCATCACAGTCCTCTGACCACCTAGCCTCTAACGCCTCTGAAATGGAGCATCTCTCTACGTTTATCTTATCATAAATGTGCTGCATTTCAACTTGGGTGGTAGACAGCTCTGCCAATATCATATAAAACATAGAGCAAAGCCTATCATCTAGCTTCTGTTCTACACGCTGCATAAACGTATCATGGGTCAGTCTGGTCTCCAAAACCTCATTATGTAAAACTTGCATGTCCTGTAGGCAGGTGGTGAAATTAGCTTTATCCCTGTTCCTGGGGCCTCTGGCTAGTGATAATATATATATTAACACATTGGCAGCTAATAAAGCATATAGGCCAATATTCAGCAGATCAACCTCTTCCTCAAACACTGATTTTACATAAGAAATGAAAATGTTACTCATGGAGACCAATGATAAATATTCGGCCATATTTACCAGTAGCATTAACTCCAGATGCAGTAACCACTTTTGATCAGCAGGTGGCGGAGGTGTGTTTGTTTTGAGTAGGACCTGAAATTTCCTGAAAAATCCTTATAGGGCGTGTTAAGAACGGATGGGAAAACCTTTGGACCACGGTACCTGGTGGAGACCAAGCTTGGCGGGTGTAGCTGGGCAGGGGCTTGCGGCTGGGCTGAAGGGGCAGGCAGCACAGCTTCGGGCCGGGTGCTATGCGGCAGGGAAGCGTCAGTGAGCCTTTTCTGTGGAGAAAGGCTGCAGGCGGGCGGGTGGGCCAGCCATGTGGCTCTCGATCTTAGGCCGCAGGCGTGCACACACAGCTAGATTTGAGTGAGAGCATGCGGCACAGAAAGGGCAAGCCTGTTTTGGTGGCAGCTGAGGGCCGTTGGCACAAGCACATGGCTAGCTGGCTAGTGGTAAATGACAGCGCAGCTGCTGCGCAAATTGCTGCCTGGAGCAGTAAAACCTGCAGAGAGGCTTGGCGGGAGGGGTGGGGGCGGTAACTCACTGTTTTCGTGAGTCAGTGCGCAAGAGATTTCAGTTGGGCACCAAGTGAAGAAAAAAGCTTGTAGATTCAAGGTACTTTTATTCAGATAAATACCAGCCAAACTCAAGCCAGAGCAGCGAGGCCAGAGAGAAGGGGCAGCAGAAGGGGAAGAGGAGGGGGTTCCATGTGCTCGTGGTCACTTAAGAGCCCATGCCAAGTCATTCTGACCTCACCCTGACCATGCCTTGACTGGCGTGGTCAGGCACACCTGTAGCCAGCCCTTAGGAGATGTGGTTACGGTGTCTCCCTACAAAGCCCTGCTTCCTTTTACCAACGTTCCAATGACTGTCCCTCCTCCTGAACTTCTGACCACGCATGCATTGGTGTGGTGCCTAAAACAATGCTGTCTGAGAGACAGTGGAAAGTCCTAGGCAGGAGAGAAGAAAGGTGTGGGGCCAGTGGGGGCCAGCTGCTGCCAGACTCTGCCCTGTGACGCTTTTCAGAACACAAAAGCTGGTTACATCCTAACAGCAGCCGATGTCAGTAACATTGAGCTGGTCCAAGCGGCTAAGTACAGAGTGCCTGGTGCAGAAACGCAGTGAAGGGAGTATTTCAATGAAAGACAGTTCTCTTCAGGATGGGCAGAGCAACTACTGCTACTGGTCCTCAAATAAACGTCATGTTTTTCACTTGCTTTTAAGAATGTGTCAAAGATGCTCACAGACTCAATATTTTGGAGATAAATCAAATGAGAACCAAGATCGAAAGGACACAAAATGAAATGGAGTTTCTGAACAAGAGGATAAGTGAGCTGAAGGAAATGAATGAAGTTCTGGGGTAGGTTTTTTTTTTTTTCCAGTATTTTAGAGGCTGGGAATGCTCACTGGCAAACTATATGCTTACTTCCAAGGCACTGCCCAAGGTTGATACAGTGTTTTAAGTTTCTACTGTTATAGAATTAAGTTTACAACCCCACCCTTCCAGTATTTTAGAGGCTGGGAATGCTCATTGGCAAACTATATGCTTACTTCCAAGGCACTGCCCAAGGTTGACACAGTGTTTTAAGTTTCTACTGTTATAGAATTAAGTTTACAACCCCACCCTGCTCCAAGGCAAACCCTCTTGTTGGAATTATATTGTAAGTACATATCAATTCAGTTCTGTCCAGTTCATTTCCTTAAAGGTCTTCAATCTTGCCTATAATCTGTTGAAGGATGAAGTTGGTGCTAGGGTTTACATAAAGTTAATGAGACCATGTAACTACCTATAGTTTGTGATCTCCCAGCACCCTTTCTTTATTCCTGAGTGGCTGTCTTGAACCAATACATCATCCCATGGGCCTCATTAGCTCCATCTGTAAGACAGGGTTCAGAACTCCTGACTCAGCCTAGCCCTTACAGGAAGATTTCTTCTAAAAGATGAAAACAATAAAAGTGTGAAAACTAACTCATCACTGTGAACAACTTTGCAAGGAGAATGCATAAATTTCAGCATGCTAGTATTTTCTATTGAGAAATGTTCAAAGAACCCCATCATACCATGGAAGTTGGTGCACGGTGACTGGTATGATCTCAACGCCCACAGGCTTGCTAGCCACCACCATTTCCAGAGACAGCTATAAACTAGACTATTTCTAAACCAACAACCAGAAATAGACGATGCAGCCAGATAGACCAAGTGATGTCACTCCTCTCTGCTCCTGTGATTTGGGGGCTTAAGTGAGCATCAGGATCCTTAGAGGGCTTGTTAAAACACAGACTTAGGGGATTTCGTAGGTCTAGCTGGCAGTAAGGTGGAGATAAAGATCAACGTTTCTAATAGATTCCAGGTGACACTCATCCTGAAGTTCCATCATGATAGGAGAATCTCTGCTGTAGATAAATCTTCAGGAAAAGACAGGTACAAATAGAGGGTGATGGACTGATGAGACAGGACCATAAAGCTATGATCACTACCTGTTCTTCTACTTTTCAAAGGAAGATGCGTTATCCAGGTCCTCATGGTCTCTGATGAGTGGTGACCTCCACCACCACCACCACCACCTCTAACGCCACCACCACAAATAGTTAGGTTTTTAGGTTCACTTGGTTTCTTCCCTGAAGAGTTGCCATCCTTGGACTGATTCCTTTCCAGGGTTTCCATAGTCAACCTATAAAACACCCACTGATTTCTTTTCCCCCTCGAAGCCTCCCACTCAGACTGTTTTTTATTATCTCTTTTGGGATGTTTGACATAAATCTCCAAATAGCCCATGCCCATTTTCCTGAGGCTTCAAGCACCCTTCCTCCCACCCGGAGTCTCTAACCTGGACACTAAACATTAGGAAAGGTCTTTATGTGGCAAGAGCTTTTAAAGAGTGAAACAGAGAAATGACATCAATTAGTCCTTCTTCCAGCCTCTCCATTATCTCTGTGCTAGAGGTTTCCTCCAACAGTCAGGTCTTCCTTAGGGAGATGCGGCCCACAGAACATGCGTGAGAATCAAGATGAGAACCAAGTCTCAAACGTCATCTGAGCAGTAGAGTTGGTTGGTTCCCTTGGTTCTGTCCAGAGGATGACTAGATTTTTCTTGGCCCCACCCCATAGGGCTATGGTATCAGGGTACATAGGGACACAATAGAATGGTTGTCTTTCTTTGACTCAATAATAGCCTACCTCAAAACACTCATCTGACCAGATTTCACTCACTCATTCACAATGACTTTTGAATCATCTTATTCTTAAACCAAAATATCCTCTCATACCCTGGCACATGGGGCTAGGTTGGCCAGGCAGGGCCAGTTGACTGACATTTTAGTAGTGACTAAAAAAGCTGTAAAGTGGACACTTGTTCCTTAAATGCCTATCAAGTTTAAATTTAAACCACAAAGATGATTAGGAAATAAGACTGCCTTACAATGTCCCTCTCTGTGAAGGCTCATGCCACCAGAGTCTCTACATTCCTTTCTTTCCTAAATGCTGTCCTCTTCTACCGAGAGTCATCCTTTTCCTCCAGTGTGAAGCAAGAAGAGCTGGCAAAGCAGCATACAAATTTTGTCCTGTGGCTGAACCAAACCCTGGAAGAGAGAGCCGCAGCTATTATTTATATAAATGACACCTATGCCAAAATAAAATTAGAGAAAGAAGAAATAGCATTCCAAAAACAATGTCTGCAGGAGACAAATGACTTAATAGACAAACATAAAACGGAGTATTTAGAAAAGAAAGAAGATTTGACTAACCAGGTAAGTGGTAGGATTTATTCTTTTAAAATTCAGAATTGTCATGAATCTGAGGCAGTCAATGAGAATTTTTCTCGTTTGTCCTGGAGGCTAGCTGGAAAGTGTGCATTGTGATTGTCATCTGGGAACTTCTGAACAGCGGTGGAGGGAGAAGCTCATGATTGGATTTGTTTGCTTGCTTGCTCGTTTTGGAGCCTTCAGGAAAAAGATACTCAGTTGTGTGCATTCAGTTAGTAGGACAGAATATGGGCAGCATCCATGTCTCTGTAGTGGCCTCATGCTGACATAGAGAGGAGGAGTTTGCCACCATCTTAGCTAGTGCCATTTCTGTATACACAGAATCTAGGGCAAGACAGAACCCCTGCAATGCCTGGAGAACACCTGCAATGCCTGCAGCACTTGCAATGTCTGCAGAACATATACAGTGTCTGCAGATGATCTGTAATACCTGCTATTCCAGCTGCAGCCACCTGAGACAGGAATAGCCTTCAGAGGGGCTGCCAGATCTCACTGCACACAAAGCAAAATGTATTATGAGGCCAGCAACTTCTGCCCTGGTGGAGCTGCACCATTGGCTGTGCTGCGTTAATGGAAGTCACTGTCGAGCTGCTTAGGGTTCTTTGATTTCTCCTTGTGCCTTGGTTGCTCCGGGAACGGTAGAGCCATCTCCGTTCCTCCTCTACAGAAAGGAGCTGCTCCTAAGATGGGAACTGCTACAGAGCTTTTTCGGCATCCTTCCCCAAGTGGAAATGGGTATAAGCTCAAAGAATTCCTGCATTTTCACCCTGAGCTGCAGTTTCCACCTTCAGACAAAGGAAGTCAAACTTGAACTTAAATGATGCAACATTAAATGGGAAGGGAAGAAAGCAGTTTCATTTGTTTCATTAATTTTTTTAATTTTATGTTTTTTTCTCCCTGATTTTCAAGAAAATGTTTTTATCATGAAGTTTCACTCATGTGTGTCTGTACTTTGATGCATAGATATTGATTATGGTCACACTCATTCAAAATAGGTAACACTGAAAAAAAAATGGTGGGTGGCTACAATGGAAAGATGGCCAAACGTAAGTATTCACAGGTTTTCATTCAATAGGCTTTCATATGCCTCTCTGATGATTGCTACCTTGTTCTCAATTGTTCAGCTTGCTGACAAACAGGTTTGATTTTAATAAGCACCACTAGAGTCTGACACATTTTACCCAGATGTTTGATTGAGTAAAAACAGGAAAAATTGTCTAAGAGGATAAGCTGCTATGTCTCCAGTGACTTTGTATTCTCTATCTTTAGTTGGGTCTTGTTTTCCATTAGGTAGTGTGAACCGGAGTTTCTAGGGTTCATTGCTATGATGTTGTGGCAAGTCCTTACAGTGGCAAGATGCTTTTATCCTTCCTTAGCAGAGGTCATTGGCATATTGTTCCTATAAGTATACCATGTCAACAACTGAAGTTTGACCCATAGGATTCATGGGTTTGTCTTTAACACTAGGAAATAAGCAAACCCTGGCTTTGCTTCACTTTCTTTTAAATTGTAGTTTACTTAGATGGAAAATGGTTCTTTTAAATTAAATATTAATTAGGTTGACAAACTGAAAGATCTTTCTTAACTCTCATGTGTTAATTGGCTTTTTAATTGGCTTATTGATGTCACTATAGATTAAGGAGATTAAACAATCCTGTGAAACAAGTAGGAAAGAAGCATACAGCAAGAAGAAAGAATTGACCAGATTACAAAATAAAATAATAAGAATGAAGCACACAGTTAATAGCAGCACATTGGTAAGAAAAAATAAACTTCTTCCTTTAGTCCAATCTGAGCATAACTGTTTTTTTTTTATTTAATCCATCTTCCTGATATTTTGAGAGGATGTCGATGACATGTTAGCATTTCCTGACACATTCTTTGATATGTCTTATACTAGATAAATATATATTAATGCCTGCTAATCTTTTACCACAATTAGTTGAGTGAGTGGGTCTGTAGTATATCAGAAATCACATGCAAAACCACACACACAATACAGTAGTTATGGGGAAACAGCACACTTTTCTGCCAGAATGCATCACTGATTCCATCATATGTTACATGAGGTGCACATGCTAACCTTAATTATGATATGTCCACTATGGCATCTCATTTTTACAATATTGCTAAAAATCAAATACTTCTCTCACACATATATGTTTGAAGAGACTATTATCTGTTTTTTTATTTCAACATGGTAAAGATGCAGCAGTCAGCCTAGGCTTAAGAAAGTTGCTGTGCAAAGCTCTGTTTCATTTGTATAACCAAACTCACACCTCTACCTTGAGCCTCCTAAAATACAAGGAAGCATCCCACCAGCAGAGTTTAGGAAAATTAAATGTAAGTTTTTAAAGTATATTCCAAGATGTCTAAGGTCAAGCTTGGCAGCCATAATAATCTCACCCCAGAACCTGCTTCACCTCCCTCCTTCCATCCCCAAACTTGAGTGTTACAAGGATCTGAACTTAAAGTTTGATCTACTTAACCTATTAAATAGGGGGAGAAGAGTATAATAGTATCAAGTACAGTGGATTTTTGTGAAGATTCCCAAAGTATAGATCGAGGCCACAGGAAAGTACAGGCTAACAAGCACTTAGAATCTTCAGTTTAGACACCTCTTTGGCTGGCTGAACTGGTGGAATGTTGGCAGAAACAGAATTGAATGTGATTCTTCAAGCAGGGGTGGTTGAGGCCTAGAGAAGATGACTATTAGACCCATCAGTTTTGCTGGCATGTAAGATTTATGAAGCCCAAACTAGAAAACATGAACTTGGGCAATGAATATCAGGCCTAACCCTGATGAATGATCAGAGTCCTTGCCACATTCTGCTGCTGATTCTAATAGCTGTTCTAGAATTTCAGTTAACGCTGGTACTCTAGATAAACCACTTTGAACAGCTTTTACCCAGTTGGGTGACTACTAAATTAACATTGTTGGGAGCTACTAAATTAACATCTGTCCCCAAAGTGGTAACACAACAGCCACCTAAAGAATGACTTCTTCAGTTTCATCTTGATGAATACAAATGAGTTTATTAGAGGAGATATGTGTACACACACACACACACACACACACACACACACACACACACACACACTGCTGAATTCAGTCATCTACCCAACCAAATTTTGTGTTTTCTTGTTGTTTCAGAATTTCTTGTTGTTTTTTGTCTAAGTTGAATTTATTTTTTAAAAAAGTCTTAAAAATGACCTGTTGGGACTAAAGGGTAGCCCCACCATAAAAGTTGAATAAGTGTGTTAAAATTTAAAATATGGAGGGAAGGGCAGTCAAGTCATACAACAGGGCTCACATGGGAGGTTTATTGGAAGAGGAGAGAGAAGGGGCAAAAAAGGGGACAGAGAATAGACAGAGGAGAGGAGGGTTGGGGGGGAGCAGAGACCTGTCCCTGGGACAAGAGAGGTGAAAGAGAAAGGGAGACGGGAGGTTGGCAAGACCTGCCTTCTGTAAGGGAACATTAGCTAATGTGCACAGCGGGTGCTCTGAGCAGCTGCAGTTGAGGATGTATCCTGTCAGGATCCTAAGGGCAGCCCAGTACAGATACCTGAATACTAACAGAACGATGCATAAAATCCCTAGGAAACTTGAATTGCTGCTGTGAATTGCTTGCTAATGACTGGATGTCACATTTCTGTTGACTTTTCAATAGATGATTAATGATCACACTTTGGAGATGGCACGGCTGCAAGAATCAGTAAGCATTTGGGAGAAAAAGGTAGAGGACTTGAAGAAATCTTGTCTAAATCTGGAGGACAAACTGTAAGTGTGACACTTTGTTTTGTTTTTTACTGAAGCTCTTTAGATGCCAATTTGTCAGGTGTTTTGTTTTGCCACCTTAACAAAATACCCAGTAGAAGGGATCTGTGAAGAGAAAAGCTTCTTTTGGCCCACAGTTGTAGAGGCTACAGATCATGGTCAGGCAACCACACTCTCCTGTGCCATGTATAGACAGTACATTATGAGAACCGACTTAAACACAGAGAGCAGAAAAAGAGGAAAACAAGAGACTGTGACCCCCAGTCCCATTCAGGGGTATATCCAATGACTTTATACCTGTACTTGGCCCTGTCCCTTAAATACCCTCCATGAACCAGCCTTTTAGAGCCCATTCCTTAAGGTAGGATGCATGGGAGAGGGGCCTGGTCCTCCCTTAACTTAATGTACCAGGTTTTGTTGACTCCCCATGGAAGGCCTTACCCTATGGGAGGAGTGGATGGGGTATGGGCTGGGAAGGAGGTGAGGGAGGAGGGAAGAGGGAGAACAGTGGTTGAAATGTAAAATGAAATTTAAAAACTTTCAAAAAAAGACCCTACAGTCTCCTGACATCGCCATGCTGGAGTTTGCCTTTAGGAGACTAGTCAAGGTTCAAAGTGCAACAACTAATATGTTACTTTCATTCTCAGAAACACATCAATAATATTAAATGGAAAATGTATTTAGTGTATTCGAATCTATGAGATTGCTGACCTCACTTAGATTTCAGGTGATCTATGGTGGGTGAGGGTAGGGAACAAGGGTGATGTAGACACTTGGCAAATGAAAGAACTCTTTGGAATGCATTATCCTCACTTCAGTTCCTCACTCCAACTAAAAATGTCTCCCATGGGGAAGGGCATTGGTGGGGCACGCCAGGAGCCTGTAACATTCCTGGCTACACTGTTAATACATGCCTTATGCTTAGTCAAGGGGTCTTGCATTCTTTACTGAGAAAACACAGGGAAGTCTTGGGCAAAAACCATTCTTATGTGAGGGATCACACCCAGTGCCTGAATCAAGTCTTCCGTTTGTCTAAAAGATGATGGTCTGCTTCCTTTAAAGAAAGTGTTTCATCCCTCGGTCTTTACCTGTACCCAGTACTCTCTTCTTGGTGAGCACATGTAAATGTATGGCTGAGCCAAAACTTCTGAAGTGACCTGTGATGAGGCTATCCTAACACCCCAATGGCCCAGGGGACTCCGTGAGTCCCCATCACAATGCGTCTGGTACAGCTTTACTTCCCACATCCCTCAGGTCTGGCCATGAAAATGGGATCTGGTAATGTGGCTTACAATGCCCACCAGATTCACTGACATCTGGGGACATAAACTGTATTCCAAGCAGATTACAAAGAGGCAAGTAGCTTTATGATAGAATCATTTATGCATATGTTTTAGTACCTTTTAATTAAAATTGTATCTTCTAAAACAAGAACAACTAATCTCCCATCATGGTTCTATTACATGCACAAATCGATTTTTTTTAAATAGGAAAGCTCAGTTAATACTATAATTAAAGTTTAGGGGGAAATGATGATATTAATTGTTTCAACTCATCAATATTTCTAAGGAAAACTATCAAAAATATAGTAGACATGGATTATTTCTTTTTTACTTTTGAGATTATAATGTAAATACATTTCTCTCTTCCTAGTCTCGATCTACATCTTCCCATATATTCCCTGCCATCTGTCCTTAAGATTCATAGCCTCTTTTTCATTAATTGTTATTGCATGCATATATGTATGTACATATATATGTATACAAACATATGCATATTTCTAATAAAATCCATTCAGTCCATATAACTTGTATGTGTGTTTTCACGGTTTATGGTGTGACAAGGGACAACCAGTTGGCGTGCTTTTTCCTGGAGAAGACCCTCTCCTACTCCCAGGTTTCCTCAGTTGCCTATAGTTTTTTTGTGTAGGGTTGAGCCATCGTGGGAGTTTCCGTGTCCACGTTGGCATGACCACTGGTGCATCTTCGTTTATCTCACATGTATTTTCTTTCCCCATAGAGCCCCCCTTTCCCATTTCCTTGATCAGATCACTTGTACCCTGCTATTCATCTCCATATTGTTTCCAAACTCCCCTATCCTGGCAATGGTTGCTTTCTCATTTCTTGCTTTCTATAGTTACTACAGGTTAGGGACTCACAGCTGAAGATTCAGAGCTAGGAGCCTCCAATGAGAGAGAGCATATGACATTCGTCTTTCTCAGTCTGGATCTTTTCTATCCACTTAACACCATCTTTTCTAGTTCCACCCCTTTTACCTGAAAAGTTCAAGATTTCATTTTTCTTTTCAGCTGGGCAATATTCCATAGTATATACGCACCACATTTGCACTGTCCATTCATTGGTTGAAGGACATTGAAGTTGATTCCATTTCTTAGCTGTTAGGAACAGAGCAGCAATGAAGAAGCCTGAGCATGCGTCTGTGAAGTAGAATGCTGAGCTCTTCATGCACATGACAGAGAATAGCAGAGTCATATGGTAGATTTATTGTCGTGACCCAGCATGTCTCAGCCTTAGTCCATGAGGTTCTACCTGAGTGGGAGTGTGTGAACCTGGAAGCTTTGAGGAACCCAACGGCAATAAAGACCAAACACAGGTATCTTGTCATCTTCAGAGAGCTCTCAGTTCCATGTTGTGGAACTAGAGTCATTTCTTTATTAGTCATCTTTTCTGGTGTCTCTTAACCATCCTGCTAATACTACGAGGCAACCATTTCTCTCTTTGTTCCCTCGCTGCTCTCTCCTGCTCTGGCTGCTTGCCCCTTAGCTCCTAACCTTCTCTCCTCACAAGTTACTCACACCTCTGATCTCCCTGCCCAGGTGCAGGCCTATTCAGATGCTTAGGCAAATACAGATGCAAATAAGAGGCATATTACCCTGAGGCTATGGTAAACAGTAACAGCCTAGTGTTAATTAACAATACAAGGTTAACCCGGAGCTTCCTGGCGCCAATGGCAGCCAGAGCCTGGGACCCAAAATATTCCATAACAGAGATATTTGGTCCTCCACAATTTATTTTTAGATTTTTTGAAAATTCTCCACGTTCTCTATTCTGTGGTCTTCCTCTTCGCCTGGTTGATTGTTTCTTTAGTTGTGCAGAAGATCTTTTAATCTTATGCAGTTCCACTTGTCAACTGTTGGCCTTAATTCATGAGCAAATGGAGTCTTTAAGTCCTTTTCTATACCAATACCATATACGGTTTGCCTCTGTTTCCTTCTAGAATTTTTAGTGCCTTAGGTTTCATGTTTAGGTTTTTGGTCCTTTTCCAGTTAGTTTTGGTGCAAGGTGATAGATACAGGTATAACTTTATTCTTCTGTATATGGACATCCAGTTTTCCCAGCACCATTTGCTGAAGATTCTTCCTTTTATCCAGCTTATGTTTTTGGTGTTTGAGTGTTTGAAATTATATGTGCTCATGTTTGAGTCTCCAGTTTTGTTTCATTGGCTTGCGTGTTTGTTTCTGTGCCCGTACTGTGCTGTTTTTTATTACTATGGCTTTGTGGTGTATCTTAAGATCTGGAATTGTAATCTCTCCAGCATTTCTCTTTTTGCTCAGGATTGTTTGGGTTATCCTGGTTTCTTTGTGGTTCCATATTAATTTCAGCATAGTTTTTTTTCCAATTTCTTCCAAGAATGAGATGGGGATTTTAATTGTGATTGCACTTCATCTGTAATAGCTTTTGGTAAAATGAACATTTTTCTCAATGAATTGGTTAATTCTACCAATCCATGAATGTAAGATGCCTTTCTATTTTTCGTCTTTATCTTCTCTTTCTTCAGAGGTTTAAAGTTTTCATTGTATAAATCCTGCATTTCCTTAGTTAGGTTTATTTCTAGATAGTTTATTTTTCTTGAAGCTATTGTGAATGGGAGTGTGCCCATGGTCTCTTCTCTGTTATGTGTTGCTGCTGTTGTGCAGAAAAGCTATTGATATGTGCAGGTTGATTCTGTATCCTGCCACTTTGCTAAGTTTGTTTACCATTTCTAGTAATTTTCTGGTAGAATTTTTGTAATCTTTAATGTATAGTATCATGTCATCTGCAAGTGGGGATGGTTTGACTTCTTTCCCTATTTTTAACCCTTTAATTTCTGTTGCAAATGTCATGGCATACAGGTCTGTTGAGAGAAGACTCAGACACTTTTAAGAATGAACTTAGCCTTTTGCAGCTGCGGGGCTCTTTAGCTTTGATGGACAGAAGGGTCAAAACTCCCGTGCTGATTAGTAGTGGGATGCGCCTGTGAATAGCCATCAGGTTGTCTGTTGTTCTTTTGTTTAAGCTGTAGCTGCTAATATAGAAAGGAACAACGAATAAGCAATCCACGTGGAGTTTATTTACCAGAGAGGGGGGAAAGGGGGGATGGGCAGTCAGCCAACCCTAGGGGAGCCGAGAGAAAGAGAGAGAGGGGTGTGGGGCAGGACCTTTTAAAGGGAAGGTTGCATATGTGCAGTAGGGCAAAGGTCGAAAGGCATGGCGGGTGAGTGAGTACCCGCTTGTTAGGGGGCGGGGTTAGGGTCATCCAGGTGTTTTGTTCTTACAATCCCGGCTGTTGTTTATTATAAAAGTTAGAGAATTGGGCGTGGCAGGTTAGGGAAGTAGGGGCGAAGATGTCTTAAGGCTGCTTCCTGCTGGCCTGGGGCGTTGATCGTCTTTGGGGGGTTGGGGGTGCTGCCACGTCCTGGAGTTGATTGTTGTTTCATTGTAGTCCGGGCCACTCTGGTGCCTTTTAGTCCTGGCAAGATGTTTGTAGAATAGAGGACAAGGTTAAGTTTAGGAAAAAAAATTTTTTCTTAGGTCCTGTCATTTGACGGGAAGATTGTAAGATGAGGGAGGGGTTCCCGAGGAGTCCCAAGATGAGGGAAGGGAAATTGGGACTGGGTGTGTAATTAGAAGCAGGAAAGTTTAAATCAGCCTTATAAAAATTGAGCCTTATTCTTCTGAAATAGGAGGTAAAGTGGATGATTTCAGTGTCCTCTGAAACCTAAG